CCTCTAGCAACAAACATACCCTTCAAAAAACCTTAATGTTGGATGAAAGGAGCCGTATATAAAGGCATACATAACTATTGATTCCATTTATATGAAGTTCTATAACAGGCAGAACTAATATATGCTGGGGGGAAATCAGAACACTGGTTGCCTTTGGGCAGAGGACTATAGAGAAAATGCTCCAAGGTGATGGTTAAGTTCAATGTCTTAATATAGATTTAGGTTAAACAGGTGTATATATTTCTCAAAAGCTCACTTCAGATTTGTACATATTGTGGTTTTCAATTTAATCTTAAAAGAAAAAAATGATCAAACAAATACTAAGTTCTAATGCCGTGCATGAGGAAGTGCTTAGAGGTAAAGTGTACAGATGTCTCAAATTTACTTTGAAATTCATACAAAAAGATGCAATGGGTTGATAGATGGATAGATCTAAAATGAAGCAAGTATTATAAGATGTTAATTATAGAATGTAGGTGGTAAATAAATGTGCATGTTGATCATACAATTTTTCCATATGTTAAAAATTTTTCAAAATGAAATGTTAGGAAGAAAATAGTAAACTTTGATCTCCAACTCAAATTACTTTTGCTGGCTCTCCAGGGAGAGTCTCATCTGTGCAGGCAAAATCAACTCCCCTCTTCTCTTACCACCAGACAGGCACACTCTATGCTACTTATAGCAGTAGAGTCTGAAGTAGTAAACTAGCAAGCATGCCCAGAGGGCAGACTAGTCTCAAAAGATGAGCCAGACAGGAAACTCACTGGAGCAAACCCATCAAAGAATGCTTACACTGGTTCTTACTGTCATAGCACCTTCCCTGACTGCTTTCTTGAGCCAAAAAAACCAAAAGCACTTCTACCTGGTACTAAATCCCCTTTAGGGGAGTCTGCTACCAACACCAAAACAGTCCTTAACATTCTTCGGCAGCTTTTCTGCTCTAAGCACAACCAGAAGTACCTTCTAACAAAAACACATACAGCTTTGAATTGCAGCATGGGACAGATTTATGAAATATGGAAGACATTAAAGTATTCGCTTTCTCTCTGAAAATAAAGAGCACAGACTCATAAACAATGCCTGAAAGGCATTTCAGCAGCTTGATCCACACAGAGCATGTTTTACTTTTTGAGACAATCAGGAACTGTTGGGTACAGGAAGCCATAAACAACAAGAATCTGGCTTAATAGCTAGGACAAAATAAATGTGTGGGATTTTTTTTATTGAAATCACTTAACATTTTTTAAAGGTTTATTTACATGTGACAAGGCTGACCAGATACCACTTGTACCCAGAGCAGCACTTCTGATACTGACTTCTCAGGACAGTGGTACCAGGCAGGACACATCTGTCAGCATTTCCATCAATAACTACATTTGCTGGGGTTAATAATTCCTTTTTCCAATTTTCTCTAGACAGAGAAAATCACTTAACTGGTTTTTGACATTCAGGCCTAGCCAAAACTTTTTCTTTTGAGTTCCATCAGAAATGAAGCCTGGAATCTGCAGAAGTGGATTTCCTTAGGTAGCCTCAGTCTTTGAAGTCTGACAAGTTAAAGACTCATGATCAAAAAGCCACCCAAAGAATACAACTTAACAAACATACTGTCTTCAAATAGGTAGTGCCAAGGGGTAGAAGGAAAATTCTATCTTGAAGTTAACAGTAATCTCAGAATGTACCATGAGCTAATGATGCTACTAAAGCAAAACAACCTACTAGGAAGCCCCAGAACTGTTTTTTGTTTTGTTTTGTTTTTGTTTTTGTTTTTGTTTTTTGGCCAGGGTTCTGCAGTATCTTGAAAAGTCCAAGTTTCAAAGATAATGAATTAGTATTGTTTTCTGAGAGCCTAGAAACCCCTGAGTCAGATTCTAGAGTCTTATTTATACCATCTATAAAATTAGCCAAACTCTCTGCTGATATTCAAAGTCTTAACCTCCTCACATAACACCAAGGAATATTGTTACAGTCTCATTCCCTCTGGTGAAAAATAATGTCCTCTGTAGTGCATATAACAAGTACTCACCCAAAAATGATGTTATTCACAACAAAATAATGTACACAAGTAGGCAATGCATATCCTATATACACTAAAGTCAAAATTCTCATTTCCTCCCCAACTTGCACTTCTGTGCTTTTTCTTACTAGGTGGTATTTTTTGAGTGGTTTTTTTAAATAATCATTTGGCATCTGGTATTTCTTGAATCTTAAATATCCATCCAAAGGCCTGCTTGTTTAAAGCTTAGTCCACACATTAGTGTATACCCATACATACCTTAATGAGAAATGGTAGAATCTTTAGGACATGGGACCTAGTGTGAGACCTTAGAATCTCAACAGGCTTATCTGGTTGCCAGTTCTGTCCTCTCTGGCTCCACAGCTCTGATGTAAAAGGTTCTGCTCTGCTATGCATTGCACTGTGTGTGCTGCCTTGCCACATGCCCAAAAGCAATGAGGGAAATCAATCATGGCTATAATTTCCAAAGCTATGAGCCGAAACAAACCTTCACCCTTGATAAGTTGATCCTTGGATATTTGTTGTGGTGACAGAAATCTGACTAACATGCAACATTTTTGCTCAGATCCTCAAGGACATAAGTAGTTAACTTTGGGGCACTCTACACCATCTACCACTTTGTTCAAAACCACTACCTCATAGCATCATTTGGTTCCTTTGACCTAACATTACCTTATATGACTTTAAGATTATAGACTGATTGTATACACTGAACTGAATTCCTTTCTCAAAATTACACTAAAACAAAACTAAAAAGCCATTTTTTAAAGGGCAAACTCCCACAAAAGCAAAGAGTACAGAAAAAGAATCAACAGCAATAAAATTTTGGAAGCTTAATCAATCAGTAACAAGAAAAAGCAAGTAACAGAGAGAGTTAAGAGGCAACAGGAATTACATTCCACTGGAAACAGTGAGGACTCTGGGAGGGAAGACAGAGCAGAAGTCTGGAAAAACTAAGCTTATGATCTGCTGAGGAAGCAGTTAGAGCCTTGGAAAACTCCATCTTTACCCAGCCAAGCAACTGCTCCTCTATCATCACTGCAGAAGACTTCAAAAAAGGTAAGCATGTGATTATAGGATGTCTGGCACAACTGAGGCAAGGAGTACAATTCTGAAAATGAGAATCCAAAAACAATAGATCACATACAAAATGCTGAGATCCTCTTCTCTCATCTCTTCTCTCACTCAGAATCCTCTAAATGATGGCAAGAAAAAATTCACAAGTAATTTCTTGAAATAATTTGACTTGCTCCTAAAAATCAGTGACAAATGAGATTCCACCCAGGAGACTATCCAACCATACTAACCCTTTGATGTGGGAGAGGGGATTCGGGAGTAACTTCCATGGACATTAAGTGACAATGTAAACACACTGTCTTGGATCCACCAGAGAACCCACCTCTATTGCTGAATATGTACAGAACCTAAGTCTGAATTTTTCACTGCTGTTGACAATCTTAAGTCTCAGCAGACATAGAACTTGAAACTAAGACCTGAGTCTAAAGAATTTATTTAGTATTAGACCTCAGGAAAGACAATTAGAGACATGAGGAAGTGAGGAAGAGGAAATCAGTATAGGATATGTTAGCAAGGAATTTAAGTAAACAAAAAGTTATTCCACAAAGAATATTCATAACTGATAACACGTACCTGCCTCAGAATATTCTGTACTTTGCTCTGATCTGATGGGCAAGGTAGTCTGTGTATTTTTACACCAACCTGAATGAGATACTGATTGTGAGACACTGGGGAAGTGGGCAGGAAAAGAGAAGTATCTCCATCTCTGCCCTCCAGAAAAAGCACTTACAGGAAGAGGTGGAGATGCTGGAAAGGAGTACCAATCACTATGCACCAAAAAATGGGTTGTGAGGGGGCACACTGGCCTAGGAAGACCATCATGAAAACTGAACTCATTCTTCTCACTAGCTTAGCCACTATAAAACTAGTCTCTTACAAGCTCATTCTTAAATTACTTTCTTTTCCTTTCCTTAAGAAAACTAATAGTTAGTGGTAAATGATTGAGGCCCCTAAGTTATCAAGAACATTTACACAGATTTATAGCTCAGCCATGCACCATTTCAGCTAACAGTTACTGAAGATACACATTAGCAATCCCTATTTTGTCAAATGAGAAAATGTGCCAAATTCAGTGAAGTGCCACAGTAGATCCCAAACAAACTGAGGTAAAAACTAAACTTGTGGATTCCATTTTACAATTCAAACCCTGCATGCTTATAAACTTTCACATTTCTTATTCCAATACCCATCTCTAAGAATTTAGCCCAGAGCAACTGAATAAAAAAGGTACATGTTATTTCATGGTCAGCCAAACTAAAAGCTGGACCAGGTTACAACAGTAGACTTTTGAGAGGTTAAGTACAACCAGAATATCTCCATTGCCCATTAGCCTCAACATCTTATTAGGGCACTCTAATAATATTCATACATACATATACATGCATATATATATACAAATATACATACATACATATATACATACATCATACATATGCCATTGGCTCAGAGAAGTTTAAGCCTGAGTCTTCACTCACATCTCTATGTGATCCTCACTTTTCTATCCTAAAATGCCTTCCTTTTTAATATCTAGTTTATTTAAAGGGGTATGCCACAGAAAAAGGACCACAATCCTAATGGTATTAGCATTTTCAAATCCTAAAATTGCGAAGTGAAGTTAGGGAGCAAGAGTAGGTCAGAATAGTTGAATCAAGATTTGCTGCCAGACTCCTTCTTTACATTGTTTTTCTATCTCTCCTTGAGCTATGATTGCTTTATCTCAATTTAAATATACACAACAAATTGCATAAATAAAAGATTGCTTTGCCTGGCATACATGAGACCTTAGAATTGATCTCCAGTGCCTCCAAATTGAAAAAAAAAAAAGAAGACGAAGAAGTGTGGACAGAAGTTTACTTCTTTCCAATACACAAACGAATAGGAAATACATCTGAGTACATGCTTAACTGTCCTTAAGATACTTGAACTGGGACTGAAGAAATGGCTCCGCAGGTAAGGACATGTACTCATCCTGCAAAAGATCCAAAGTAGGTTCTCAGGATCCATACCAGGCAGGCTGCTCACAACCACCTACAACTTGGCCTCTATTGCCTCTGGCCTCCACAGGCCCATGTATTCACATGCACATACCCATAAGCACACAAACACAGAGACACACAATTAAAAATAACAAAATTATTCTAAAACATTTAAGACAATCTTCCAAAGCATACCTGGAACATCAAATGAAGTTAGCATCTCCTTCTAGCTCTGTATGTCTCAGCCATGAATACAAGATGGAATTCTTCACAGCAAGAGGACAGAGGTGGGTTATTATAGACTAAGTTCAAACTAATTAAGCAACAAAATTCTAAAGTTACCCAAATAAGTTGCTTTTTTCTCACCATACTTACCTTCTACTTTAAAGGCATGGCAGTCAAAACATTGATCTAATTCTCAAAAATCTACAAAATTTTCTAACTACATAAATCTGTAGACATTTCATCTTCAGGCTGCAATTCCAATGCCTACTAGAAAGATTTGAGTTCATAGCCATGTAATTACAATGTGGCAACTTAGCTATATGAGCTATATTTTGCAGAATTCCTTTCTCTGTGCATAACTCATTAGGGTAAACACAAAAGACTTGTGCGAGATTTAGAGAGCCCAGTGAAATTAGAATCATTCTTGTAGTACACATAGGACACACTTATCTGCTGCTATATTGCATGAGGCAATAGACAGATAAACAGTTACTTTACCTTCCCATAGATCCTAGGTCCATAATAACGGCATTGGCTTGTTCTGCAAGATTCCCTTATCATCAAGGTCAGATGCAGCAAGAATGCATATGATTTCAGTTCACCCTTGTTGGCTCCAGCTCACATATGGTTTCTACCCTGTCAGCAGCATTTCCTATGCACTTTCTGTCCTTGCAAGCTTCCCTGTGCAATTTTCATGCACACTCCAGCATGAATCATAAAGATAACATCCTTGCTTATGGATGGGGCCTTCAGAAACTGAGGAAACCAAACACTCTTCTACAATTTCTACTCCTTTGATTACATACTTATTTAAGGCTTCAGAAAATTTATAAACCAATAAATATAAATATAAATATATATATATATATATATATATATATATATACACACACAAAAAATTTAAAATCACAGGTTTTTAAACAAATCTATTTCAGAAACACTATGAATTAAACAAGTTAATTTTAAGAATTAACAAGAAGACTAAATGATTTCAAACTGTCCAGTCCTGTAACAAAATAATGGAGCACTATATCCATGACCTACCTATGTAAAAAGCTAGCTCAAAGACACCAACTTCACCAAGAATATGGAAAGTACCCAAATCAGTTTGTTTACTTCATAAATAAGTGTAAAATGCATACAAACTTTGATCTTGAATTTGTAAATATTTCGTGTGTGTGTGTGTGTGTGTGTGTGTGTGTGTGTGTGTGTATGTATGTATGTATGTATGTATATATGTATGTGTACAGATATGCATGTCACAAATGGTCAAAGGATAACTTCAGGTGTAGGTTCTTGGGAGCCTTACACATTTTATTTGAAATGGGGCCTCTAACTGACCACTTGCCACTTAGGCCAGATTAGCTGGCCCCTGGGCTTCCAGGGATCTAACTGTGTTACTTCCTATCTCACCATTGCTGGGATCACAGCATCATACTACCAAGCCCAGCAGCTGAAGTGGGTTCTGGAGATGCAAGGCCTCCAAGTACTTTACTAACTGAGCTATTTCCTTAGCTTTGAAATACTTCTTAGATACAGATAGATATAGAGATGGATGTTGTGTGATATTAAGTCTCCTGTGGTTATTTGTGAGCATCTCCTGAGACACAGAGAAACTCCACCTACAGATGGAGATATAGACAGAGACAGATGTACAGATAGAGATGAGGATAGATATGGAGATGCAGATACAACTATAGATAGATATAGAAATGGAGATATGGATATAGAGACAGAAATATAGATACAGAGATGGAGCTATATAGACATATATCAATGGAGATAGAAATAAAGATATATATATATATATATATATATATATATATATATATATGGAGATTTAGATAGCTATAGAAATACAGAGATGAAAACAGATATAGAGAAATGGAGATAAAGACATATTATTTAGTAACCTGATATACTAATCAAAGATACTGTGAAAAAACTGGAAATAAATATAAAATTGTTTGCCTATTAACTTAATAAATAGGTATTTCTCATCAGATACGGCCTCCCCAAAAAGAAGAAGCCATAAAATTTAGCCTACAAGAGAATACAAATTGGAAAAGAAGTCAAACTTTCTCTATTTGTAGATGATATGATAGTTCACGTAAGTGAACTGAAAAACTCTACAAGGGAACGTTTACAGCTGATAAAAACCTTCAGCAAAGTGGCAGGATACAAGATTAATTCGAAAAACTTAGTAGCCCTCCTATATACAGATGATAAATGGACGGAGAAAGAAATCAGAGAAACATCACCCTTTACAATAAGCCACAAAAAACATAAATATCTTGGGGTAATGCTAACCAAACAAGTGAAAGACCTGTATAACAAGAACTTTGAGACTTAAAAGAAAGAAATTAAAGAAGATACCAGAAAATGGAAAGACCTCCCCATGCTCTTGGATAGGTAGGATCAACACAGTAAAAACGTTAATCTTACCAAAAGCAATCAACAGATTCAATACAATCCCCAGCAAAATTCTTCACAGACCTTGAAAGAACAATGGAAAAACAAAAGACCTAGGATAGTCAAAACAACCCTGAACAATGAAGAAATTTATGGAGGCATCACCATCCCTGACTTCAAGCTCTAATATAGAGCTATACTCCAGAAAACAGCTTGGTATTGGCACAAAAGTAGACAGACCAACTGAATCGAACTGAAACCCCTGATATTAATCCACACACCTACGAACACCTGATTTTTGCAAAGAAGCTAAAATTATACAATGGAAAAAAAGAAAGCTTCTTCAACAGATGGTGCTGGCACAACTGGATGCTGGCATGTAGAAGATTGCAGATACATCAACATCTATTGCCATGCACAAAACTTAAGTCCAAATGGATCAAAGACCTCAACATAAATCCATCCACACTGAACCTCTTAGAAGATAAAGTGGGAGGTACCCTTGAACGAACTGGTACAGGAGACTACTTCCTGAACAAACACCGGTAACACAGACACTTATATCGACAACTAATAAATGGGACCTCCGGAAACTGAGAAGCTTCTGTAAGGCAAAGGACACAGTCAACAAGACAAAACGGCAGCCCACAGAATGGGAAAAGATGTTAACCAACCCCACATCTGACAGAGGGCTGATCTCCAAAATATGCAAAGAACTCAAGAAGCTAGTCACCAAAACACCAAATAAAACAATTAAAAAGTGGGGTACAGAACTAGAGAATTCTTGATAGATGAATCTAAAATGGCTGAAAGACACATAAAGTATTCAACATCCTAACCATCAGAGAAATGCAAATCAAAACAACTCTGAGATACCATCTTGCTCCTGTCAGAATGACTAAAATCAAAAACACCAAGGACAGTTTATGCTGGAGAGAATGTGGAAAAAGAGGAACACTCCTCCACTGCTGGTGGGAGTAGAAACTTGTACAGCCACTTCGGAAATCAGTATGGCGATTCCTCAGGAAAATGGGAATCAGTCTACCACAAGATCCAGCAATTCCACTCTCAGGCATATACCAAAAGATGAATATTCACACAACATGGGCATCTGCTCAACTATGTTCATAGCAGAGTTGTTTGTAATAGCCAGAACCTGGAAGCAACCTAGATGCCCCTGAACTGAAGAATGGATAAAGAAAATGTAGTATATTTATGCAATGTAGTGATACTCAGCAGGAAAAAAACAATGGGATCTTGAAATTCACAGGCAAATGGATGGAACTAGAAGAAACCATCCTAACCAAGGTAACCCAGTCACAAAAAGACAAACAGGGTATGTACTCACTCATATATGGATTTTAGACATAGAGCAAAGGATTACCAGCCCACAATCCACTCTTTCAGAGAAGCTAGGAAACAAGTAGGACCCTAAGAGAGACATACATGGTCCCCTGGAGAAGGGGGAAGGGTCAAGACCTCCTGAGCTAATTGGGAGCATGGGGGGAAGGGAGAAAAAGTTAGGAGAAAAAGAAGGGGAGAAGAGGAGCGGAGAGGGGGACATGAGGGAGCAGGAAGACTGAGTCGGGGGAAGAATAGAGGAGACCTAGAAAAGAGATATCATAATAAAGGGAGCCATTATAGTTTTAAAGAGAAATCTGGCACTATGGAAATGTCTAGAGATCTACAAGGTTGACCCCAACTAACAATCTAAACAATAGTAGAGAGGTTACCTTAAAAGCCCTTCTCTGATAATGAGATTGATGACTACCTATATGCCATCCTAGAGCCTTCATCCAGTAGCTGTGGAAGCAGAAGCAGACACCCACAGGTAAACACTGAGCCGAATTCCTGGAATCCAGTTGCAAAGAAGGAGGAGTGATGAGCAAAGGGGTCAAGACCTTTGCTGTTTCTGTGGAAAAACCCACAGAAACAGCTGACCTGAACAAGGGGGAGCTCATGGACCTCAGACTGACAGCTGGGAAACCAGCATAGGACTGATCTAGACCCCATGAAAGTGGGTATCAGTGAGGAGGCCTCGGAAATATACAGGGCCTCTGGTAGTAGTAGATCAGTACTTATCCCCAGCATAGGAATGGCCTTTGGGAGCCCATCCCACATGGAGGGATACTCCCTGAGGCTAGGCCCTCCTCCAAGTGATATGACAAACTTTGAAGATCCCCCACGAAAAGCCTCACCCTCCCTGGGGAGCAGAAAGGGGATGGGATAGGGGGGTCAGGAGATGGGGAGGGAGAGGGAACTGGGACTGACATGTAAAACACGCTTTTTTCTAATTTTAATTTTTTTAAAAAGTTAATAAATAAAAAGGTTTTTAAAAGTTAGCCTACTGTGAACA